CCTTTCCCTCTGTAACTCTGCCTTTAAAATAAATAAATAAATCTTAAAAAGAAAGAAAGAAAGTAAAGGGCACTCTCTGTCCCAGGTTCTCCAGGGGCCTGGGCCTGGCCACAGTGAAGGTGTCTCCAGGGGTGGACAGTGTTCACTCAGTGTGGAGACTACCGGTAAAGCCACAGCCATCAGAGCTAGAACCTGCACAGGTGTAGGCCACATCCATGTCCCCCTTTCAAAGCAGGGCAAACAGGCCCAGAGAAGTGCTGTCGCGGATGGCGGCACCCAGAAGCTGCGCGGTGAGAAGGCTCCTCGGCCTCGGGCGACACCGAGAGGAGAATTTACTGCAGGCTGGAGGGGAAGTGAGCCTGCAAGGGTGCTGGCGGACACCAGCCTGATGGCCGGCCCCACGCTCCCACTGCAGACGTAGGGGGAAGGAGTCCAGAGGGGGCTTGCGGGAGCTGTCGGCCAATCTGAGGTTCGACAGTCAGCGCCCATGCACACCAGCAGCGACCCCAGGCCTTTGTTCTCATTCATCCTCCTAGGAGGGCTGGAACCCAGCCAGGAGCCATGCTCAGTGCCCCACCGAAGGCCCTGGACTCAGAAGGGAGATGACTGCTGGGGGCTGCGGGAAGCAGTTGGCCTTGTTGTCTGGCCTGCGGTGGCAGTGCAGAGCCACAGCAAAAGGCCTGGACTTCAGACCAGAAGCCGGGCAGCCCCCTCTCAGGGTCTGGTTCTAACCCCAGGATTACTGCACTCCTTTCCTCCACTGGGGAGCTGAAAGCACCAGGTCCATGGCTATTAGTTTATTGATGGGTTTTGTGGCTGCTCAATTCTCTTCAGTGTCCCCAGGTTGAGCCTGAAGTTGAAGACGAGTACATAAAGCCAGAGGCTGCAAGAGCCAGGTTCTGTGGGTACCAAGTCAAAAACAGCCCTCTCGGGGGGCAGGAGCCTGAGCAGCTCCCAGGCAGATGTGGGCAGCCCCATTGCTCCAGGCACCCCTTCTTCCTCTAGAGTAACGCGAAGAATCCTGGCTCAACAGGAAGAGACAAAAGAACAGACCCAGAAGACGGCCCTTGCCTGTCTTCAGCACGCGGACAACACCTACTGCGTGAGTGAGTGGGTGAGTTCTGGGTGTGGGTTCAACTGGTTCTGCAGCTGTGGAGTTGCATGGTAGGGCCAGGCCCCACTGTGAGCCTCAGCTTCCTGCCTAGAGTGGGGACACTAGCTGGGAATCAGCGGCTAAGAGCAGGGTTTGGCAGGACACTGCCCAGTGCTAAGTGTGGGGAAAGTTTGCTTTCAGGTTTGGTATCTAAGTATCTTCTGTCTATCAGGCCTGGAAGATCCTGCAGCAGCCCATGCCAGCGTCTGCTCACTCACAGCAGGGAGAGGTAGGGAGATGCTAGGAAGGACCCCAGGATCCTAGGGACCCCAGACACCTCCCCAGGACAAGACAGGAGCCAGGCAAGGAAGCAGGGTTGGCTGGGTGTCTCGAGATGCCAGGCACCACTCTGGGCCCACAAATCCTCTCCATAACTTAGTGAAGTGAGACTTAAGACCCTGTTTGATGAGCAAGGAAAGTGAAGCTTAGACAAGCTAACCACACTGAACGAGAGCAGAAGAGTAAGAACCGAGGTTCTTTGAACCCTGTCATTCCACGCAATACACACCCTGTGCATTGTAAGCATTTCAAATCTGATCTTCACAACAAACCTAAGAAATAGCATTTATTTCCCAAAGCCGTGCAGGTGGCAGAGCAAAGACTTGAACATGACACCTAGCTGCCTCCAGATAGATACCTTTTTTCCCCCAGCACCCAGTGAGGGGGGATGGGATTCCTTACAGTGGCAGCAAAGGGCCTCCAGCAGTAGCTGTAGACAGACAGGTGCAACAGGGTCAGCCCCGACAGAGGTGCGGGCGGAAGGCAGAGCAGCTGTGGCGGTCACGTGGCCACCAGGAACTGACTATGGAGCGGGGAGGAGCCAGTGGAAGGCAGACACACACTGCACAATCTCACTCATGCAAAGTCCACAAGCCATCAAAATGACCCTGCCACAGGAAGTGGACCTCACAGCTGCCCTCCAGGGTAGGGACGCTTTCGTCTCTGTCTGGCGGTGGGGACTGGAGGAGACACGCAGATGGAGAAACTCACCGACAGACACGTGGCATCCATGGGTTTACACTGAGCTGAATTACAATTTTAATCCTGGGGTGAGCACTTGGCACAGCAGTGAAGACCCTGCTTGGGGAACACACTTCCATATTGGAGTGCCTGATTCAAGCCCTGGCTCTGTGTGTTTCAAAGACTTTATTTTTTAAAATTTATTTGAAAGGTGTGTGTGTGTGTGTGTGTCTGTGGGGGGGGGGGAGAGAAATGAATTACCTTCTAGAGATCTCCCATCCCCAAATGGCCACAGCAGTTCAGGGCTGGGCCAGATTGAAGCCAGGAGCCAGGAACTCAATCCTGGTCTCTCACATGTCCTTGGGCCATTATCTGCTGTCTTCCTGGACACATCAACAGGAGGCCAGATGAGAAGCACAGAAGTTAGGACTCAAATGTGATATGGGATGCTGGCGTCACAGGTGGCAGCTTGATCCACTTGTCACAACCCTGTCCCCAGCTCTGTTTCTGATTCCAGCTTCTTGCTAACGTGTACCCCAGGAGGCAGCAGGTGATGGCTTAGGCACAGGGGTCTCCGCCACTCACGTGGGAGACCTGGATGGAGTTCCCGGCTCCAGTTCTGCCAATTGTGGGAAGCTGGGGAGTACACTAGAGGGTGGGAGCTTTCTCTTTCTCTCTGCCTCTCAAATAAATAACAATTTAAAAAAACACACAAAAAAACTTTTCCAGAGCCGGTGCTGTGGCGTAACGGGTAAAGCCGGTGCCTGCAGTACTAGCATTGCATATGGGTGTCACTTCCAGTCCCGGCTGCTCTACTTCTGATCCAGCTCTCTGCTATGGCCTGGGAAAGCAGTAGAAGATGGCCCAAGTCCTTGGGCCTCTGCAGCCCAAGGTGCTCCGGAATCCTGGCTTCAGATCAGTGCAGCTCCGGCCGTTGCGGCCAACTGGGGAGCGAACCAGCAGATGGAAGACCTCTCTCTCTCTGTCTCTCCTTCTCTCTCTGTGTGACTCTTTCAAATAAATAAATAAATCTTAAAAAAAAAAAAAAAAAAAAAACCTGCCACTTCTAACTTAAAAAAAAAAGTTTAACCCTCAGTCTGTCCAGGATCTCCATCCACGCAAAGGCAGCGACTGCCACCGGAACCAGCACAGGCGACGGCTGTGCTCACGTTCACGCCACGTCCACGCCACGTCCACACACTATAGCCGGCTGGTGGCTCCCAGCCCGCCCCAACACAGACACACATGCATGCACGGGGATCCAGTGAGTTACTTCCTCCCCACAGGGCTTAGCTTTCTTATCTGAAATTGAGGGCTGGGCTAACTGACTTACCTGCTCTTTCATGGTGGATTCAGTGAAACGGCTAGTAGTTCTTAATCCATTTAAGCACTTATTTGAAAGAACCAGGCACCTGGCTATATGAAACCCATTCATTGCCCCTCAATGCATCCAAATGCACACACAGACTGGAGCCCAGCTCCACAGCCTGGGGACGTCTGGCTAAGTCCGGATCTGATGCACCAGTGCAGCTCGCTCACGGCCCAGCTCAAGGCTCTTGGGTGGAACAAAGCTCCAGGGACATGCACATCTGTGTTGCGTAGGTCCTAGGTGGCCGCCACTCAACACTGCTGCACCTGGGACGTGTCCTTACCATGCAAGTCCCAAGCAGAAAACCCACACACCATGCCCCCCACCCCCGCCCGCCCCAGGCCCTGAGCACCACCTCTCCCCTTTCCCTCAGTTCTGACAGCAGCAGCAGGGACGATGCCTGCAGATACTGATACTGAGTGACCACAGACAGCCTGCTCAACATCTGATACTCCAGCCCAGTTAAGTGGAACGACAACCCTGCATGTCCCCGTGTTATAGATTAGAAAGCTGAGGCACAGAAAATTTAAACAACTTGCTCAAGGCTTCCTCAGCTAGACTGCAGCAGAACCAGCGCTGAAACTGAGCAGTAGGACTCCAAGTCCGGTTCCCAACTACCATGCTGTGCCCTAGTAAGGCCCTCGCCAACTGCAGGACCCTGTCCGAGGCCATCAGGACAAGCTCTCCGTGAATTTCCAGTAAAGCCACATGTGTTTTTGCTTCTTTGCTTTAACTGCCGTGCTAGCCCCTCTCCCCACCATGGCCCTCACCACGAGACACCACCACCCTGAATTTTCCAGGCATTTAGGGCCTTTCAACTCAGCAAAGCTCCCCCCGTCCACCTCCGATTTCCTTTCTGGTCTCTTTGCTATTTGACCCCAGGTACCAGAGACACTGCTCTGTACTCTTCCCAGCCCACCTGAGCCCTCCCCTGCCCTCCCTCGCCCTCCCCCTGCCCAGGGCTGCTCCTTCTGCCTGGGAGTACCCCCACGCCAATGCCTCACCTGCAGAGCCCCTGCTCCAGGGCACCTGCCGAGAAGTCTCCCTGTCACTTCCTGTGCCTGTTCCCTGAGTACCTGCGTGTGCTTTTGTTAGAGCGCTTGCCCCAGACAGGAGGGACTACTCATCTCTCATCTTCTCCCCCAGCCAGTCTCTCACTCTCAGCAAGTGCTTACCAAATGTCTGTCAAACACGGGAATTCCAAGATAAACGTCTGATTGCTCTACCCTGTCTCTGCCAAACATGCAGACCACGGGAGTGGGGGGGGGCACATGCAAAACGACTGGACACAGAGCTGCAGAGCCCACGGAACAGACTGGACCCCACAACTCCTCCCTCCTCCTTCCAGCTGCTAATCCGCCTCGAAATCCAGAGCAGGCGGCAGGTTTCTCTGAGAGCCCACGTGCAGTCAGCTCCATGGCGTGGCGGAGCGGGGCACCCGGAGGCCAGGGCTGGCTGAGCAGAGCAGGGCAGAGCAAGAGCCGCTGTGGGCCCCAGACCCCAGAGCAACCTGCTCACCTCCTTCCTGGGAGTTCATGACGTTCAGGGCGAACAGCATGGCGTTGGAGAAGGTGGTCGCCTCTTCCTTACTTGCGAAGTTTAAGCCATAGACCTGGCGGGCATCTCGCCACTGGTGGAAGGTTGGCGTTGCCTGATTGTACTTCAGCCCTTTCACGATTGAATAATTGATCACAACCTGGAGGGGAAAAGAGAGAAACACGCGTAAATAAGTAGAAGGGAGAAGACAAGTGAGCTGGCGAGGGGCATGATGAGGCCAGGACGCTGTGTGCCCTGGAGGACAGAACTGGGGGCTGGGGTCTGAGGGAGGGAGGGGAAGGCTTGGTCAGGGAAGTTTCCAGACCCTGATCAACGGCACAGCGAGGGGAGGGTGTGGAAAACCCAAAGCCTTGGCTAACAGATCATGCTGCGTAGCCGCTGGTGAGAAAGCCTGAGCCGGGAGTCAGGTTCCCTGGTGTGGTCCTGGCCCTGCCTCGTAGCCATGTGACTCAAGAAGGTCACTGCCCTCCCTGGGGCTCTGCTTCTCCAGTTATGATACAGGGGCGAGAGGCTCCGCTCAACCAACCTCACGCTGTAAAGAACCCCCTAATTCATATTCATGCCCCTATTTCATATCCATGTCCCCTAATTCATATCCATGTACCCAATTCATATTCATGAACCCACTCCATATCCATGCACCCTAATTCATATTCATAACTCCCTAATCCACAGTCATGCTTCCCACAGCCCTGTGTATGGTGGCTGACACTTAGGATTCATTAATAAATGTTAAAAGGGTAACTTGGACAAGTTAGTGTGTCACACAAATATATAGCATTATTGGGGCCGGCGCTGTGGTGCAGCAGGTTAATGCCCTAGCCTGAAGCACCGACATCCCATATGGGTGCCAGTTCAAGTCCTGGCTGTTCCACTTCCCATCCAGCTCTCTGCTATGGCCTGGGAAAACAGTAGAGGATGGCCCAAGTCCTTGGGCCCCTGCACCCGCATGGGAGACCCAGAAGAAGCTCCTGGCTCCTGGCTTCGGATTGGCGCAGCTCCGGCTGTTGCGGCCAAATAGGGAGTGAACCAACAGATGGAAGACCTCTCTCTTTCTGCCTCTCCTCTCTCTGTGTAACTCTTTCAAATAAATAATTAAATCTTAAAAAAAAATACCCAAAAACAAATATACAGCATTATTGACCTGGCAGGAAAAGTCACAGAGAAGACAAGGCCCAGCCAGGCTGTGGGTGCGGGACTCACAGGGCAGAGCTGCGGGTGCAGGGCTCTGAAGCCGTCCGGAATTCGACACCGGGTAGGTCTGGCCACTAGGCATTTATAAGAGATGTCTTCCATGTTGCTTTTTTTTTTTTTTCCCCAAGAAAGGATTTATTTACTTGAAAGGCAGAGTGAAAGAGAGACAGAGAAAGAGAGAGAGAGATCTTCCGTTGTTGGTTCACTCCCCAAAAGGCCGACAGCCAGGCGCCAGTATGGAATGCGGCATCTCAAGCAGCAGCCTAACCCACTGTACCACAACTTCAGCCCCTGAAGAGAATTCTGAGCGCTGCAGGCCCTCCTTGTAAGTGGTGCCCCAGGGAGGCAGTGGAGGCCTGGGGAAGACGCTGAGGGCTGGAGCCTCATCCTGCTTCCCTAACCTAGCTCCGGGCCTCGTGTTCCAACCACAGACTCAGTAGTTGTCAGTTTTCCTGCCTGCAAAGTGGATAAAGAACGTGATGTGGCAATGGCTAAGCATCTCACAGCAGCGTTCAGTGAGACATGCGGGTAGCTAACCCAGCTTCGAGCTTCCAGCAGCAGTTGTCAGGAGGCATTACTGGTGGCCTAGAGCCCTATCGGCAGAAGCACACAGTGGAGCGGACGAGGCCGGGCAGACAGCCGGCAGGGTGTGGCAGGAAAAGGTCTTTCTCAGTCTCGTCTGCCCCGAGGCTCCTGGGCTCCGAGGCTGGGGATAACTGTACAGCACGCCCTTCAGCAGAGTGGGTTCAGGAAAGAGATACGGACAGAGACGTGGCCAGCCGGGCACGGAGATGGGCACCTGGACTCACTGCTCCTTTCGTGCTCCACACGCTGTGTGCTGGATAAAGGCAGGCAGGGGGACGGCCCCCGTCTGGCTGGGCGAGAGGGAGCCAGCCATCGTCTCACAGCCTTAGGGCGACACACCGACAGACGGGCACTGCAGCCCACGTCCGCACCCAGGCTCCTGGGCGTTCTCTGTTTTGCTCCTGCTACTAGGAATACAGACTCACAGGTGTGCACAGCTAAATGCAAAGACCTGAGCTGGGGAGGGTTAGGCTTAGTCCCAGGTCGTCAGAGACAGAGCTGGAGGTTTTGTGGAGTTTGTACACGCTAAGCACCAGCCAAGTGACAGTGGCTAAAGCAGCCCTTGAGACTGGAGACGCTGTAATGGTGGCACATGCCCCTCCTGGTGTCACCAGCTCTGGGTCACTTTCAGTGGACACGACCAGTGGAGCAAGCCAGAGGGAAAAGCTTTAAGCGGAAGGGCCAGAGACCACCTTCTATCAGGAGCGGCTGAGAGCAACCACAGTAAGACAAAAGACTCTGGTGTATCTCGACAGCTGTCTCCGGGAATTTGAGGGGATGTCCTGGAATGTAGACGTTGGCTACGTCCTCAGAGGAGGATGGGGTGCGGAACGTGAGAATGTCCCTGGAACACGGCGAAGAGCTGGCCCGCAGAGTTGCTGGAGGAGATGCAAAGGAACCCGGGGCTCCTGTATCTCACTGCTCTCTGTATGGCCGGGACCCTGCCCAGGGAGACCCAGGGAGTTAGTGGGGCCAGCGACTGGGTGCTGCTTTTCCTTGCCAGTGAGATGAGCGGCATCCTTTCTCCCACACCCCAGCCAGCCTTAGCTCTAACCTCTGGAGCTTCACGGGCCAGTTCTGATGGCAGGAAGCTTTAGGATGTTAGACGGGGAGAGGCATGGTGCCTCTCCCAGGGCACACCCACTCCGGTCTCTGGCGGCCTGCCCCAGCTGTGCCCTCTGCCCCCAGAACAGTATCGGCACCCAACAGTCTGAGACTGCTCTGCGGACGACTGTGGTACTAGGGACAAGGGACAAGCAGTGTTGGAGTTAGAGTTCTGGATTACAGTTCCGACTTCATTATTCCCAGTTCAATAACCTTGGACAGGTTACTCATATCAATTGCCTCATACACAAAATGAAGACAAACAGGAAATAATACTGTGCTGACACCTTGTGGAGATGTTTAGAGTTTAATTTTTGTATTATTTATTAATTTATTTTTGACAGGCAGAGTTAGTGAGAGAGAGAGAGACAGAGAGAAAGGTCTTCCTTCCGTTAGTTCACCCCCTAAAATGGCCGCCACGGCCGGCGCACTGCACCGATCCAAAACCAGGGGCCAGCCACACACACCCACCCCCCCTAGTCTCCCATGCGGGTGCAGGGCCCAAGCATCTGGGCCATCCTCTACTGCCTTCCCGGGCCACAGCAGAGACCTGGACTGGAAGAGGAGCAACCGGGACAGAACCTGGCGTCCTAGACTTTTTTTTTTTTTTTTTAATTTCTATTTCTATGAGAGGTTAGAGAGACAGACAGTGCTTCTGATGGAGCAAAGACAAAAAGCCTTAGATCCATATAGACCTCTCACCTACATACAGCAAGCAGGCCCCTATTTCGCTGCCCAGCTAACACAGCCCCACCTTGCCTGGACTGCTGGACACACCACTACCTGAGGGGTCCAGCTATCAGCCTGAGCTCTCCCCCCAGCTCACACTGTGGTCTCGCAGGACCTTTAGAACGAGCCCCGCTTTAGCTCAGGCCCCGGCTCCTTTCTGCCACTTTGCACTGTATAAACCACTAGTCTGTAAGGGAAGGCGCTCTCTGCCATGCGCTTGCTGGCAACTCTCGGCTGTGCGTTCACCTGGGCGTGAGCCCCTCCAGGCTTTATTCTTCTGAACACCCCTGGTCTGGCTTCGGCTTCATACTCTGTCTCTTCTTTCCTGACAGCTTTATCCACTGGTTCACTCCCCAAATGCCTGCAGTGGTTGGGGCTGGGCAAGGCTGACGCCATGGGCCAGGAACTCAGCCCAGGTCTTCTGCATGGTGGCAGAAACTCGCCGGTCTGAGCCATCCCTGCGCCTCCCGGGTGAGCATTAGCAGGACGCTGGCGTCAGGTTTTGAGCCCGGGCACCCCGATGGAGGACACGGGCCCCTTCACCAGTGTGGTACCGGCTAGGCCAAACCCCACCCCACCCCACATCACGCCTTCTGAAATGCATCCACGCTGCTGGGTGTGCCTTCAGTTTCCTCTTTATTGCTGAAAGTTACTCCCTTTCTGGAAATCATTGTAAGAGCCTTTGTGTCTGTCTCCTGTCCACTGGGAAGATGTATTTTACAGGATCGATTCCTCCAAGTACAACGGCCTGCTAGACGTGGACACTGAGAAAAATCAGCTTCTGAAAAGGGAGACTCCAAGTCCGTGCACTCTGGATAGTCTGTGCCGACGACACAGAGCCAACATGTCGCTTGACCGTCTGCCAGAGGTGCCCAGTGTTCATCAGCCTCCAGAGAGACCCCAGCACTCACCTACGGGTCCCCTCGCTTTGTTTACTCTGCTCACGAGTCAGAGGACCCCACTGGACACTTTCAGGGCTGAGTCCACCTGTGGGCATGGCAGCTTCATTCAACACCCGTCACCCCACACGGCCCGCAGGAGACGCGATTCTTACTTCTGTTGCTGCCAGGCACTTCTGCCTGATCCTGAGCGGCACAGAAACGGACCCCTGTGCTACGTACTGTAGTCCTGTTTGAGCTCACTCAGCACAGTGTTTATGAGATTCATCCGTGATACTGCATGCATCGGCATTTGAGTTTGATTGCTATGGAGCATTCCACTAAAAAACTCGTTTGAGTGGCAGACAGATAAAGCTCTTATCTGGGGGTTCACTCCCCAAACGCCTGCCGCAGCCTCTGGCTGGGGCCGAAGTTGGAAGCTGGGAACCCATCCACGTCTCCCACATGAGTGGCAGGAATCCAACGACTTCAGCCATCGTCTGCTGCTTCCCTGGATCAGTCAAAGCAGCGAGCTGGAGTCAGAAGTCAGAGCCAGGCTTTGAACCAGGCACTCTGATGTGGGACACCAGCATTCTAACTAATGTCTTAACCAGCAGGCTGAGTGCCTGTCCTGAGAACTTGGTTCTTC